CATTTTTGGAGATAAAAATGTCTTATGAAAACACTTGGAACGTTTATAGTTCATATATCTCTATTTATAATATATCGTTTTAAAAATTTCAATCTTTCCTTAGATAATTAAATTTTTCTTTTTAAAATGTAAGGGGATATTTCATTTAGCATTACGATATAGCAGAAAAATGTGAAACACATTTTATATCAGAAGGGAAAAAATGAAAGAAAAAAAGGGTCAACTAGGATAATAATTTTGCCGGCTGTGTGGCGTGGTTGGTTTGTAGCTGGCCCTCTGCACCCAAGGTTGCGGGTTCGACCCCGGCTCAAGTCGGTGGATTTACATAATGCAGAAAACAGACACCGGCCATGTCGTATGACTATACGGCAAGTAAAAGTTCCCTAGAGTGTCTGTTTGGCTTCGATGCTCTCGGCAAAATTAATTTCTGGTACAGGTTTGCATCGTCAGAGCTCAGCTGCCTCCCTCTAGGGCGGAAACTGGGCGTCAAAATTACCTGCGGAGATTGTGCTATCCGCCTATAGGGCATCGCACTGAAAAGTGGTACCAGCTTCTGGAGAATGTATCAGGTCTACCATGGTTAATGATCAATTCGCGGCCCATTAGAAATAAAAAAGGATAATAATTATCAGTAAGATAAGCAATCTTGCTCTGTACAGGTTAATGAAATATGAATGTGTAATATTAATGGTAAAAAATATTACAAATTTAGGTCCGGTAAGGTCTTTCGGATCGTCGCTGGCATGTCGCGAGTTCAAGCCCAGTACCACTAAAGACCCGCCGTGTAGGGGAGCGATGCACGATAAATTGTCGAGAGCTTAAATTTCCTGCCGCGGGTGTGGTGTAGTAGTTAGGAGAGGGGGGTGTCAGCTCAGGTGTCGTCCTCATCTCTTGACCTTGGTTCAAAATGACGAGGTCCGTCACCAAAAGCCTTCATGTAGCTGAACAGTGCGACTTTAATATTCACTCACCCGATAAGGCCTTAAATCACAAAGACATATAAAAAAAATCTCCAAATTAAAGTTGTAATTTACTTTGAGTACTTCAATTATAAACTCTCATGCATTTATTACTTTCCTTTCAACGCATTTGTGAGAAATTTCTATCACATATATCATTGTGCTAAGAAATATTTTATGTACATTAAAAACAAGTAATATATATAAAAAAAAAAATTCAAGTCAATTTCTACTTAGATCAAGAAAGAAAAATTTTATTTTGGCTACTTTTTATTAAATAGTTACAATTAATATAAATATGTATATACATAGGACAGAATGACAACATTTTCTGGTAATTAATTTTATTTAATTGTCATTAAAATATCGTATTGACATCCAAAACAACCATGTAAATAATATTTCAGTTCAACTGAATACATTAAAACGTGAGAAAAAGAATCTTAAAGATTTGACCCAAGTCGCTAAAAATAAAACCAACGAAGCTGTATCTGTAATTCTTTAACCCGCGATCACTCGCGCGGGGTGTTCTGTACACCCCAGCAACAAGAAATTCCTTCCAGGATTTTAAAAAGAATGCGCAGAACCACGATTTTTTCTGTAGCTGCATATATTAGGTCATTGAATCCACAGGCCTGATGCAATCCCTCTTTGTCGAACGATTGGAATGTAATGACGTTCAAAAGTTTATCTGGGGGGCTGAAAACTCCCGCGAGACGTTGAGTATTTGTATACAGTCTGCTCTAAATGTTTGGAAAATGATTAAAATATTATTTTTTCTATTTTCTACTATCATTATTTCATTAATTATACAGTATATTTATTACTGGTATATACGTTTTATACTGGTTTATGAAAAAATATAAAATTATGTGTTTTAAAATGAAAGTTTTGAATGTTTCGTTTAAATAAATGTGTTAGTCTCATTTGTATGCAATAAATTTAATAATTTTGTTTGTATAATACAAAAAATATCATGTACTTTTTAAATATGTATCATAAAGACTTAATTTTATTTTCATAATTAAATACACGTGTTCAATGTTTGGGGTGTTCTCTACATCCCGCGAGTAACGACGGTAGCAAAAACAGGCGCGAGTGACCGCGGGTTAAATAATTAGTTTCAGTCAATTAATTTTAATTAATTACAATTGAATTATCGTATTTTTACCCAAAACAATAGTATATAGAAAATTGCAGCTCAAACGAGTGCTTTAAAATGTGAGAAAGAAAACCTTTTTAAGTTTTGACACAAGTCGCCAAAAGGGTGGCTAAGTCACCAAAAATGATGCCAACGTGTCTGTATTTGTAATTCTTTGAATAATTAGTTTTAATCAGTTAAATTTTATTAATTATAATAAATTACTGTGTTGTCATCCAAAATAATCATGTAAGTAAAATTTCAGCTCAATTGAGCGCTTTAAAATGTATTTTATGAACGATTGAAAAATTCCACGTGTATAAATAAATATGTATATAGAGTGTGCGAGCTAATAGTAGGAATTGAAAAATTTTTCCTTGACTTAATTAACCCGGGAGCTTTCGCTCGGGACACTGAGTCATCCTAGACCAACGTAATCATTAATTCTGAGATAACTCATTATTTGTTACCAATGACTTTGTCAGTATCCTCCTATATGACAGTCTTCATAGGAATTAAAATGTCTTTGTCGTATAGCTCGCTGTTTTTTGGGAATGACAAATGTTTTTAACACTTGGAGTGACTGAGTTCCCCACGTGACCCCTTTTGTTCCAAAATATTTTCTATAAACAAGCTGCATTTTCCCCCATAGTGGTTTTGATTCCTGTGTTGTACGACTCATTAGGGTTTATAAATGTTAATGAACAGAATATAAATAAAGAAAGGAACATGTGTGTTATCTCTAGTGAATGAAGTTGAAACTGATCAAGCAAGAACATGATGAAGTAATGGCTATTAATCACGAAAGCGAAAAGAATTTCAGAAAAGCGCTGAACACGAAACGTTTGAGTTGAAAGGTGCATTTTCAAATGCTACCTAAAAAACTCCATCGAGAAAGATGCGAAACGAAAAGTGTACCACAAGACACACAGCACCCTGTCAAAAAGACACAAGCGAGAAAAAATTCATCAATACTATATTTGTCCATCATCAAAGGACAATAAAACTACAATAACTTGAAAAAAATATGAGAGTTTTGCCCGCAAATATCATTACTGTACTGTCAGAAAAAAGTGTCTGTGATGTGTGTCCTTTATTAAAGTTACGCACATTTAAAATATTTTAGTTGAGTTTGATTGCATCTTTTCTCATATTATCACTGAAATATTCAAACATCCTCAAAAGTAGGTAAGTATACTCTCTGGCAGGTTCTTGACCCTACGCGCTCACTAACGTTAGAATCGAGTGCGCGCCTTCTACCAGATTAAATGACCACTACATTTTAAAGCCGAATAGATTTTTTCCCCAAATGTAGAAATAAGATTCTCTCTTAACTTTTCAAGGTTCAGTAAATGTGGTCAAATTGCCCTAACGGGAAGCCCCCTTCCAGGATATGTAAAAAAAAAATGCATTTGAAAAAAATTCCACAAAGAGTTGCAAGATCAAAACGGTTAGCCGACACTCAAAAGAAAGAATGTAACTATTCCTTTTCTTCTGACCAGTCCTTCTCACTTTAAGAAAAAAAAAATCCTTGAATAGAAGATAATACTCCTATATTTTTCCTTTTGGATTCTTTTTAACGAACCAAGTTGCAAAGGAAAACCGAAAAAGAAGAACCTTTTAGGGTTGTTGAAGTGTTGTGATTTCTGGCCTGATTCAACGGATAGTATAACTCCTGATCAAATGTTAAAACTATTTAACTACCTATTTAAATAAAAAAGTAATTTTCTCCGTTTTGAAGATATCTTTATAAATGTAGACTTTTTTTTTTTCTTCATATGTTCCTCTTTTCTGTATTTTAAACTTAAAAATTATATTTATTTTTTGTAAAACAGTATTATAGTAGCATTTGTGTGTGGTATTTGTCATATCTTGATGCTGTCGTCCCTGTTATTTCAGTGTTAGCAGTTGTGCGGGAACGGTTTCCATTATTGGCCGCATATCGAGGAATTTGGCGACGTCTTGCATAATTGCATAATTACTACTACATAGCTTTTGTACCAGCCATCCGGTATAGTGTTTAGCGACGCTAACTTCTGTGCTGTAGGGCCCGGGTTTGAATCCTGGGAGAGTGAGTGAGTGAGTGATTTTTGGATTTTTTGGCGAAAGAGCCGATTTCGACTGTACTGCACCAAACATTAGTTAAAATATTAAAAAACTTATAAAAAAATATTTCGACAACTACACTGTTTCAGTAGTGCAAGAAAAAATCACATAAAATATTGAAATGCAATTCATAAGATAAAAGTAATATACATTTTGATGGGAAAGCGTAGCCCTCCCACCAAATCAAAAAAAGGTTAAAGAAGAAAAATGCAAAAAAATAATCGAAAAAATATTTAATATAGGTTTTAAATTCTTTAGCCATCTGCAATAACATAAAATGTAAAAGTAAAAGAAAAACAATTACTTTTTCCTCGTCTCGATATTGTGTGGTTGTTATTATGAGGGATTATTCCCCATAATTCTTCAGCACGTATTCTTCCGGGTTGAACTCAATCATGTCCTCGTCTGAGGAATCCTGTTGAAGTGCACTCTTTCATGGTTTGTGTGGTGCCATCTTCATTTCTATTTTTATTTCATTAATTTTTTTAAGTATTTCTCTTTGTACTAAAATGAAATTGAGACCTATTATGATTTCTATATGATACGATATGATATGATATATATATATATATATATATATCTTGTTCATATTTTCGATCGTTAATATAAAATACATATTATTCATCCACTAAAGTTCAAATAAACTTTTTTTAAACTTGTAGTGGCTGACACTTGATGTTAACACAGATTTTTCACATATTAATTTACTAATTCTATTTAATTAAAGAATTATAATAGTAACAAAAATAAAAATAATAATCCAAAACCATTTATAAAAATCAAAATCGCTCTTTGTATCCTTGTAACGCAATGGATAGCGTGTTGGACTTCTAATCTAAAGGTCGTGGGCTTTGAATGCCACCTGGTATGGCCTAATTTCTAAGAATGCGATTTCTTTTTACTGTACTATTTTATTGAAATAATTAAATTTAATTAATTAATAAATAGTAACAAAATAAAGTAATGGTCCGACACCCTATACAGAAAGAAAAATGGAAAATTACAAGTAAAATCGCTTTCTATTTTGCCACTTAATGTTTTGATTCTGTCATATGTACATACATATTTATATTAAATGTAATTATTTAATAAAAAAGAAACCAAATTAAATTTTTTCTTTGTTGACCTAAGTAGGATTTGACTTATTTTTTTTTATATTACTTGTTTTTGTCAAATGTTTGAGGCTGCTTGTAAGAAACTCCTGTAAAACTTATTAATATCAATTATCAGAAAAACAAAAAACCGAAAAAGAAATATCTGACTGTTGAATCGTACTGTCAAAACTCATTTCAGTATTATAATATAGTTGTATTATTTTTACAGATGTGGTTTCTCGGGTAATTCCTTTACCAGAGAAGATACAGGAATCCAACTCATTCCCCCTTCCGGTGGTAAGGCTGAACTCAAATTCCCACAGGCCAAATAGCATCAAGCTTCACAAGCGGATCGACTGAAAATGTCCACTGCTGAACTAGTGCGCAAGTCCATATTTTTCACTGCAAGGCCATTTTTGAATCTCTTTTTCAATTCCTACTTTTAGCTCACACTCTCTATATATTTATTTA